AAAAAAAAAAAAGAAGGAAGGTTGGGCAATCTACTTCCATAATGATACTGCCTCAGAACTCCTTTATTCCCTATCTCTGATCATTACATTACCAACAACCCAATCTTCCAATGTAGAAAACTTACAGTCACTCTCAACTCATGCCTGTTCTGCCCTCCCACATTTTAACTACAGTAACAGGAATTTCTGCCAGTTCTACGTTGGAAATGCTTCTCTCCCATCCCATCCCTCCTTTCTATTCACACTGCCACTACCTTAGTCCAGGCACTCATCTTGGCTGCTACCAATTTGAAGTAACCACCTTGCTTTAGTCTCCCTGTCCCCTCTCCACCAACACCCAACACACATCTGGTTCATCCCTCCATTAAGACCAGTATCATCTTGTCATTTCCTCAGTGTAAAAGTCTTCTTCATTCCCTTTCATTTCCTGATTGAAAAGACCTCAACTCCTTAGTGTGGCATATAAGGCCATTGACAATTTGACTGCATTCTAGGGTTCTAGGCTCATCTTCTTTCTTTTCTTTTCTTTTCCTTTTTTTATTGTGATTTGGGTAAAAGTTTACAGAGAAAATTCATTCCAAAGTCCAATCTTTCAGTTAGCAGTCAGAATTCATTAACCATTTGCACATAATACACAAACATCTATACATGCAAATATATATAACAAGGAAAATGTAGCCACTGTGCTGAAAGGACATTGTTTCTTGGTATCATCTGGTCTCTTCTACACACACACACACACACACACACACAGAGTCTAAGGCTATGGGTCATTTGATGTCATTCAGAAAGAGGATTAAGTGTGCCAATTGAAAGGTGACTTCTGACAGTGAACTTAAAAAGGGTGTGGATGATCAATGTTTGATTAGGAATAATTGTAATTATCTATTCAATGCCTGCTATATGCTAGACATGTAATAAACCATGTCATCATTTACCTTTACAGAAACCCTGGGAGTTAGGTATGTCTGTTGTCTTCATTGTGCAAATGAGCAAACTGAGGTTCAGAAATGTCCATTAACTTGCTCAAGGTCATACAGCTAGTAAGTGGTGGAGTTTCTTAGCATTCTGCTCAGTCTCCTACAGAGCCTGGTCTCTCCTGAGCCCCCGTGGCATAGAGCCCATGGGACATAGTGAGAGTCAGTGATCATCAGCTGTTCACAAATAAAGAGAGCTGGTTTTTGAGCCGTTGAGCCTTTTTTTTGTTTTGAGCCTGTGTAGGTTTTATCTGTATTCCTTAGATCACTTCATCTGTAGTCTTTCTTAGTCTGTTTTTCAATTTGCAAGCCCATAGCTCTGTCACTATACAATCTCACATCCTCCATTACAAATGCTCCCAGCCCTTGGCCTGCTCCACCCCTCTCTTCCAGCCCCAGGTGACAAGGCCCAGCTTGCTGGACCCACAGAGCCAGGCTCATCATTTGTCTCACTCCCTCAGGCCTCCATTCTGCAGTGATATGACTGCCTGCAATGTCCTTCACTTTCTTCTCCACCTGGTGAAATCAGGTGTCACTTCTGTGATACTTCCTCAGCCCTCACCCTCTCCTTTTTCTTTCCAAGATGCATTCTTTTCCCTCTTTGAAGACGCTTGTTCATATATCTGCTTCACCTACTAGACTATAGACTTTTGAAGAGCAGGAACCATGTTGTCTTTTTCTTTGCACCTCTAGTACTTAGCATGATGACATGCACATAATAGCTGCCCAATAAATAGGCATTGAATGCATGAGTAAATCAACTATGTTAGGTCCTGGGATATAACAGGGAAAACAGAGGACGTAATTTATGTCTTCACTCATCTTACAGTCAATTAGAATAGACAAAGCTGTTGATCAGAAAATGGAGTCAATTATAATTGCAACCAGCACTATGAAGAAATATCAAATGCTATTTTTCTTTATGAATTTCTAAAAATTCCAATAATTCTTTATGATTTAAGGACTCTTACATTTTTAGGCACCTCACAACCTGTTCAGACTACAGAGTGAAAGAAAGAGTCAGAGGAAAGCAGAATAAAGCAAGAAAGACTGAGTGAAACCTCCCTTCCACCTTTGAGCACCTTTTCAGATACCTGAGTCAGGTGGTGACATGGAATCTCCCCTCTTTCCACAGCCTTGTCAAAGGATGTCTGCCCTTCCATTCTGAGCACCTCCAACTGATCCAAGTGCAGCCACGAGGAGAGAGACGTCCATATGAGCAGCCTTCCAGGGTGCCAGTCCTTACCACTATACCTCAACCAGGACCACAAGAACATTAGCCAGAATAAAGTGTGTCCATATTCTTTTTCTACAGGCCTCTTGTACTCTTCTTAAAGGGAAAAGAGAACAATGTGTTGCTCCCCAGAGAACTCCTAAAGTCATTTCCCATTCAAGAGACTGGTGTAAATAATATATCCACTCCTGGATCATTTCCACAGTCAAACTGATCTCGTCCGAGAGGTCCCAACACATTGCCTGTCCCCTGACTCACATCAAGCCCACACCAGGAGGCTTTGTTGCTATTCTTTCAAAGTTTTTCCATGAGTCAGGCTAGATTCAAATTCTGTCTCCACCCCTTAGTAACTGTGTGATCATGAGCAAATTATTCAACCTCACCAAGTCCCAACACCCTGTTTGTGAAGTGGAGATGGTAATACCTGCTCCCTAGGGGCATTTGGAGACTGATGGGAGGTAACATAGGCCACGTGCATAGAACAGGACACGGAATCCAGGGTACGGTTCTTAGTTGCTACTCCTCTTTCCACCTTTTCCCTAAATATCCCAGAACATGAAGAAAGTGATTGACCATGGATGATATACTTGAAGAGTTAATTCCTGGAGAAGTTTTGAATGCATTTTCTCTAAAAAGCTACATGATCCATGGGGGCCAAATTCAGGATGTCATCAGGGTCATGTTCAATGCAAAGGCGATGGGGGAAGATCCTTTTTTTTTTTTTTTTTTGTCTCTTCCAATTTCTAGTAGCCCCAGGTGTTCCTGGGCTTAAAGCTGCAGCATAACTCTTATGTCACATGGCCGTCCTCTTTCTCTCTCTCTGGAACTCTTCTCTTTTATAAGGATATCACTCATATTGGATTAGGTCCCACTCTACTCTGGTATGACCTCATTTAACTTAACTGATAAGATCTTCAAAGATCCCATTTCCAAACAAGATCCTGTCCACAGGTACCAGTGATGAGGACATCAGCATGTCTTTTGGGGTCACAATTAAATTTACAACAGAGGGTAAGATTACTTCCTCCTGTGCTCGCACCTCCAAAGAAATGCCTTAAAATATTAGGACCCTTTACTGAGCATTTCCTATGTGACAGCCGACAGGAATTGGAATCATGAGCCTCATTCTACAGAAGAGGTAATGGGGACATCGAGAGGTTGGGTGGTAACTCAGGCTAACTACCTTACTTACTAAGTGGCTCCAAAATCTTTGATGCTTCTGTCCTACCACCTGAAATTTTGTTCAAAAAGACACAACAATTTCTTTAAATGCCAGAGGAAAATTAAGGCATCTATACTGGTCATTTTCCCTCTAGAAATGCCAAAATATGTGTTTGAGTAGTTGAGATTGGGGTGTGGGTTGGGAAAACCTTTTTATCAAAGGTTGAAGAGATGTAAGATTACCCAACTCAGGAAACAAAACAAGTGCCCAGTTAAGTGTGAATTTCAAATTAAAAAAAAAAAAAAACACTACCATTGAGTTGATTCTGACTCATAGCAACCCTGCAGAACAGAATAAAACAGGCCCATAAGGTTTCCAAAGCTGTAAATCTTTACATAAGAAGACTGCCTCATCTTTCTCCCACAGAGCTGCTGGTAGGTTCAAACCCCCAACCTTCTGGTTTACAGCTGGGTACTTTAACCACTGTACCACCAAAGCTTCTTGAATTTCAAATATGAGTCAATTTTTTAGTATATGTATACCTAAATGTTGCATGGGATATACTTACACTAAAAAAAGCATTCATTGTTTACTTGAAATTCAAGTAACTGGATGTCCTGTATTTGATCTGGCAACCCTGAAAAGATGAGACGGGCCTCAGAATTTGTGCACTGAGGCAGTGCCTGGGGTTGAGTTCGGAGCAGAAGCAGAGACCCCAGTAGGGTTGAGGGAGAATCTGCTTTGGGGAATGACACTCTTCACCAATCCTGCTCCTTCAGACCCCACCTGAAGTCTCTATGGGTGAAGGTGAGGTGAAAGTACAGAGTCCCTGCAGGAAAGAGCAAGGGGCCCCAAGATGGAAAAGGAAACCCAACTTCTCCGGACAACTTGACTGGGGGAGAGGAAAGATGCATATGAAACAGAACCTCCCTATAATATTTGTACTTCAATTACAATTGGGCTAAATGGGCTTTTGATAGCTTCATCTGAGAAATTCAATGCCTATTATAATATTGTTTCAGTGAGACCTTGTTTCTACTTCCAGCTACCATCTGTCAAAGAAATCTGGAAATTGAACCCACACATACACTGAGATGGAGCTCTGGTAGCACAGTGCCTAAGGCATCTGACTACTAACCAGAAGGTTGGTAGTTCAAACCCACCAACCACTCTGCAGAAGCAAGACTGAGCAATCTACTTCTATGAAGGTTTACTGCCTCGGAAACCCAATGGGGGTCACTATGAGTCAGAATCAAACCGATGGCAGTGGGTTTGTTTGTTTTTTTTGTTGTTGTTCTATACACATAGAACTAGCAATCTAAGGATAGGGGAACTAAGGGAATAAATAACCAAAAACCAGTTATCATTGAGTTGATTTTTGTGTGTCAAAGTAGAACTGTGCCTTACTTATTTGGAGAAGTTCCCAGGTTGTTTTTTACCCCAAAGGGTTTGCTACTTCTGCCTAAGGGATTTCCAGGTTGATTGACATTTCTTGGGTAAGCTGTAAACAACTTGATGATTTGATATTTTTCTCTGGCCCAGGGCTACAGTCTGCCCTGTGATTGGTCTATTTTATATACCTTGCAGAGACTAGTCAATTTTCAATTTTCTATGCAAATATTGAGTTGAAAATCTGCTCAATAGGATGGAGTGACTTACAGTTATTGGTTGATGTGTTGTCCTGCTGGGAGGATCATGCTTTGAAATAGACAAGGAGTTTGCTTATATAAACAGCCTACCCTACAGAGTGTCTTAGAGGCAAGGAGAAAAGAGAGAAGTAGAGAGAGAAGAAGCAATGAATCTCCTAAAAAAGCTGTAATATGGTGCAAGTATGTATATAAGTCAGTGACATTTAACTCAAGGGCTGTAACACTGAAGACAGCCAGAAGCCTGGAAGGGGCTCTATGGCAGAGTCAGTGGTGATGGCAGAAAGCTGCTGCTGGGAAAGTTGAGATGAGCAAGCTGCTACACTGGCTGTGAGCTAGATCAGTTAGGAGAAAGGCCAATGATGGGGTAGCTGAAGGCAGAGAGGCCTGCATGCTCAAGGGAGGCTGTGCACAACTGGGAGGGGGTGTGCACACCTGAAAGAAGGTCTTGACTGCTTGCACTGCCAAGAGCACCTGAGAGAGCTGTCCTAATTGGGAGCTGCCCTGAACTAAAGAAGGGATGGATGTTCTCTCTACATTAAAGACTTGGATAAGCTTTCCAAACCTCACCTACATGAATCCTGATCCTGATTCCAAGTTGTTCCTGTTACTTGCAAGTTGATCTTCATCAAGAGTTGTAGCCTGTTACTTCCTTAATAAACCACATAACTGTGATTATGGTCTGTGAGTTCTGTGTGGTCATCGCAACAACTTATTAAATCGAAGATAGAAATAGAGTGTGCTGGGGGGCAGTTTGCGGGGGTGGTGATGAATGGTATCAGAACGGTGAAGAAGTTGGAGAGTGATGGTAAGTCTGACCTCCATGTCATAGGAATCAGCTTTGTGTTGATCCTGATTCCTTTTTTTTTTTTTTTTTAAACTTTTGATTGTGATTTGGGTGCAACGATTCATTTTACATTCAATGTTTCATGTACTTTTTTTTTCACGATACTAATTACCATCCCCACAACGTAACTGATCTTGATTCTTATCGATCATGAATTTAGGTGATGCCCCATTACAATTTTCAATGGCTGATTTTTCACAAGTAGATTCACAGAACTTTCTTCCAAGGCACCTCTAAGCGGATGACTCAAATCTAACCATTCAGCTAGCCACTGGGCACTTAACCATTTGCACCACTCAGGGTCTCCAATCTTATCTTTCGCCCTTCCTTTGATTTCCTGCTGAAGCTTCCCATTGGCTAAACTCACTCATGAGCCAAAGGGTGAAAGAGCTCATTGATGTAGTCCATCCAGGCCAGAGGTGGGGATAGAGAGCAGGATTTGTACAGGTGGAGACTGGAATTGGAGCAACAAACAGAAGATATGCTGTATAAACTGCAATGAGGGAAACTTTCTAGAGGGGTCATGTCTGAGTTGAGACAGGAAGGAGGGAGAGTAAATTGACAACCAATCAAGGAGAGGGAGCGGGGAGACGTCTCAGATATAGGATCAACACACATCAACGCTGAGGTGTGAAGGAGCCAGGCATGTTCTGAGAACCACAGGCAGTTTAGTATATACCCTTCATGAGCAAGAGGGAGGCATAGTGGGGAGAGAGAAGGATGATAATTACATTTTACAGGATGTAATAACTTTTACCGAGCACTTACTACATGCAAAACATGTAAAGTGCTAAATATATTACATTTTTTTATTATAGTAAATATATATATAACACAAAATATGCTGTTTCAATCTTTTTTATATGTACAAGTCAGTGGCACGGATTATGCTCACCATGTGTGTAATCATCACCTTTATCCATTTATAGTTTTTTTCATCACCTTTAACAGAAACTCACTGTCCCTTAAATAATAACTCCCCATTTCCTCCTCACCTCAGCCCCTGGTGACCTTTAATATACTTTGGTCTTTATGCATTTGTCTATTCTAGTATTTCATATAAATGGGATCACACTACTTATTTCACTCAGCATAATGTTTTCAAAGTTGATCCATGTCATGGCATGTATCAGAGCTTCATTTCTCTTTAAGGCTGAGTTTGGGTCCATGTTTTCAAGTCACTGAAGCCCCTGACTTATTTTAGAAAAAACTCCAGCTAATCCTTTCACTGCAATATTTTTTTTTTTACAACTTCTCTCCTTCCTTTTCCTCATTATTTCTTCCTTCTTCAGCATTTCTTTCCTCTTCAAAATCTATTAAGTCTGATCCATCAATTCCCCTTCTTCACAATCAATATTATCAGAAGGGACCATTCCCTGGGGAAGGATGTCAAGTTTGGTAAGGTGGAGGGTGGACAAAAGAGGGGAAGGCCCTCAACGAGATGGA